CGGCTATAACCGCCTTGGCCCTCACCGATCGGTGAGGTGGAGCCACCGCGGGCGGTTCCGGACGCCGGCGTGACAGGCCCTGAAGCCAGAGCAGGTCTAACTTTCTCACTTAAACTTTCTCCTCTCGGGGGGGGTGGGAGCGAGTACCAATCGCTGAGCACAGCCCTATTAAACGATTTGGCCTAGCGGCTGGGGCTCTCTTGTGGATTGGACGAGGGGTGCTTTGAGGGGAAGAAATTGCTTTGAAGGAAAAGGATTTGCCCTTTGGGAAAAGCAAGCCTACACTTGACCTCAAATCTCCACTGCGCTGAGGAGGCGGGGATGCGGTTTGGGTGGTTCCCGCGGCTTCTGGAGATGCCAGCGCCTGTGAGCTTTTGGGATTTGGCCACTTTCTAGGTACTTCGTGCTGACTTTCTGGGACCAGTTGATACTTTTTCATCCTTGGTGGAGGCGGAGCGTGGAGGGAAGGGGGCCAGCGAGGAAAGACCCAGACTCAGACTTTAACAGAGTTTTGAGTTTAAAGAACTGACAGATTCTCAAGTTGGTTCATGTCACATCTTTGAGATCAAGACGTAGCTTTTGAGGCTGTGATAGTAATCGTGTTTGATCGCAGATAGCGCAGCCTCGCAGTTTTACTGTAAATACATATAGGAGAAGGAAAAAAAATAACCTGTTCTTTGTGATGGCTTGGTGGCTATGGAGACTGGATCCCACACGACCTACTGCTTGGTTCGAGTTCCATAATTGTGCTGGGCGCCTGTGTGTGCGTGCCCAAAATCCTGAAAGGAGGGAGAAATGGAGGAGACTGTGGAGTGGCCATCCCCCCATTGGCCGAGGGTGCTTTCTCACTTTCCCTCCCTTTCATTCTCCAGGGAACCCACACCGTCTGACAAATTTTTAAATTTGCTGGGTCAGGCAGTACCACAGGGAGTCTGCGCGATGCGGTTTGGAGCCTTACTTGTGTGGCTTGCAGCAAGTGCTGGGCGGTGGGGTACAGTTTGGGCTTCATTATCCTGCATTCAAAAGATTTTGAAGTCTCGGAAGTTTGATGTGGAAAATGGGAGGGCTGCGTTTTATTTTTTATCTATTTATTTATTTTTTTTTGGAGAGGTTTTCACCAAAGGGCGCAGGGCGCGTGCCCTTCCCAGAGAGACAGAGAGAGACAGAGAGAAAAGCGAGAAATCACCCCCCAGAGGGGATGGTCACGCCGCAATCCCTTCTCCTCCATTCTCCTCTCAGGATCCTGGGCACACACGCACATGCGCCCGGCGTGTTTCAAGCCGCTGGGTCCGGGACGCGAACTGCGGTCGACCACGTGGGAGTCCAGCGACATAGCCATTATGCTAACTGCTGGTGCCTGACTGCTTTTGAGAGTTCTGCCAGGAGATTTATTTAGAATGCGATTGGTCGATGTATTAATATACAGTTTTGTTTAAAACAAAAATTGGAGCAGTCTGGCTGTTGTAATCTGCCCTGTTTTCTGTGTATTCTTAAAAGTGGTCCTGGGTTGAAACGCCATTTTCAGCCGTCATCATTGATGTTGATGGCAAGTGAATGCCTTGTGCTTTGGGAGCAAATCTTTACTTGCTTTGGAAACTGTCTTTAAGATATCTTTAATGTCTAAAACACGTCTTTAAAATATAAGATGGTGGGCTAGCCCATGGTGCAGTGGTCAAGTCAGCTGGATCCCATGTGGTCAGTTGCTCAGGTTGGAGTTCTAGGGCTTAAAAAATACACCAGGGGTGAGGCATCTGCATGCTTGCCCAAAATCTGGAGAGGAAGGAGAAATGAGGGAAAAGAGATTGCCACCTGGCCATCCCCCGTGCTGCTGGGAGAGGGGCTGGGGAGTGATGCTTTCTCACGTTCCCTCTTTCCCGCTCACATGCCCTCAGAAAGAGCTAAAAAAGAAAATCTTGTTATCAAGCATTTAGATTTCTGTCATGTGAATGAGTTTTATTTTAAGCAAACTTATTTTGCATAATTTTGAATTTAAAGAATAAAAATTCATTCATTTTGCATAACCTAGTCATGACTGAACTCTAAAAAAATGTAGAAAGTGTAGTTATTTGCCTTGTGGAAAGAAGTTGAGAAGGCACTAGAATGAATGGTGCATCTATTGTAGGAACCAGGCATGGTGCTGAGTGTGTAACTGTGTCATTCAGGCTTATATGAACCTGTGAACTGGATCTTTTTTCCAGTTTTACATGTAAGGAAATTTAGGCTCAGAGGGGTTACAACCTGCCTAAACTGAAACGTCAAATTTTGCCATTTAAAGTGTTCCAGTTCTTTGCATCAAAGTTCTTTGCACAAACCCAAGGTCTTTAGCTATTTGATGCTGCCACTTATAGTGACTAGACATGCCCGATAGTTGCCTTTAAAGTATTGAAGTGTGAGCATTCTCATACTTTGGAGAAAGCAGTGTCACATCCAGATGGGGTGAGCATTAATGGAGCGCCTGTGCTTTTTTGGAGGTGGAACTCGAATTAAGCCTTGAAGTGGACTAGGTTCTCCTAGGTTGAAAGGCAGCCAGGATTTTGGTAGGTGGAGGGTGTGACAGGAGCAAGAGACTTAGGACTTAGAGTGCAAGATCTGTGTTGATTTGTGAACCTGCCACAGAAGTAAAAATGTTGGGATCCAGTGGTAGACTCAATGCCTAGTGTTCCTGTGTTTAACTGCAGCTAAGTTTGACGACATTGTAATTAATCCACATAGGGAATTGAGTGAATGTAAGCACTTATAACAGTGGTGGGCAAATTTTGTGTGCTTTTGCACACAATTTTGACTATATAGTAAATATTTTAGACTTAGAGCAAGTGAGCGAGAGGTAGGAGGTGACCTTTGAGAAGGAGACAAGGGTGCTGGTTTGTAAGGGACCTTTCAGGTCATGGTAAGAGTTTGGGTTTTATCGTGTTATTGTTATAGAAGCAATTCCAGATGGTTTTAATGATAGAGAAGTAACACAGTGTGAAAGCAGACTGCACCACTTGGTAGCTATAAGACCTGGATAAATTACTTAAATGTTCTTTGCCTCTGTTTTCTCATAAGGAAAATGAGGATGATAATAGAACCCACCCCATAGGGCTATCAGTAAATTAACAGGATAGCATGCTTAATCAAGAAAAAAAGAGAGAGAGAACATGTAAATTAAGTTATAAATAACAGTTTGGTGATTTAAGTTAATTAAGTTAAGTTAATGATTTAGTTTAATCATTTTAAACTGACTCTGCAAAAAACAGTCTGCAAATATGGTGAAATGGTTATTCTGGGTAAAGGGGATTTGTCAGAACATTCAAGAAAAAGTAGGGTAATTTGAATAGATCAGAAACCCTGGAAGAACTTAGAAAATGTTATAAAAATGGGGTTCAGACAGTTTTTATAAACTCTTCCAGATCTTTAAAGTACAAAACTTTGGGTGTAATGGAAACATTTTCAATGCATAGAAAGAGATGGAAGGTTTCCAAATTAATAATTTCAGAGCAGTTTTGATACCAAGAGTAAATAACATATCAATGTTGGTTCATCAGTTGTGAGAAATGTACCATCTTACTAATGTAAGTTTTTTTACAAATAGAGAACCAAATAATTTCTAAATAAAATATCAACAAATTAAATGCTGTTCTCCATGATCAGCTATATCCCTCACTCCAAGAGCATTAAGAAATATATTAATATGTTGCATCAGCAGATGTAAGGAGGAAAACCATTTAATTAATTGACGGCAAAAAGTCATTTGGTATCATTTGGTATGTGTTCTGGTTTTGAAATTTCATGCAGGACCAGAGGGATACTCCTTTAGTGCATGATAGAACATCTGGTTGATTCCAACACCTTCCTTAGAGAGAAGAAGTGGAGAATTTTCAAATGTAGATCTCATTTTTTTATACTTCTTTGGCCCATTGTTTCTACTTCTAGGATTTTGTCCCATAGAACTACTTGCTCAGGTAAGACTGTTGTGCAGTGTTCTTTGTAAGAGCCAAGTGTTAGAAGTACCTTGAATATCCATGGAGTGGGGACTAGTTAAATCATGGCATATTTACAAGATAGCACACCTAAGAAGCCGTTAAAGTGGCTATGGTATATTTAAAGGTACTGTTTGGGAAAGACTTCTGTCACCATAGATGACTTCTGCTTGTTTTTGAGCTTTATATCAATCGAGTATACTATATTCCCTTTCGTGTCTGGCTTCCTTTTTTATTATTGTTACTACTTTAGGTAGCTACTGTTACGAGATTCATCCTTGATGTGGGGAGTTGGTTTATTCTCCTTGCTATGAGTCTTCCTTCATATGACTGTACCACAGTTTAATTGCAGAGTTTGTATTAGTTCTGTAATCAGGAAAAACAAAACAAAACAAAACAAAACAAAACCCTATGGTTTAAAAGGTAAAATTCAGTTGAAGTTACAGGTCAGATTGGAGGGATTTTATAACTTAAAAATGTTCGAAAGAATTAGTCTGCATTTATCTAATTTGACAGTCAGCTTCTCCCAGCTTCTTTATCTCCTTTTGATTTCTCTCTTTTGGGCCCGTTGGAACAGGAAAGTGGTGAAACTCAAGTCCCTTAACTGTACCTCTCAAGACTGCACTGGCTCGGGATGGATAAAGTGAACGAGCCTTTTCATTAATGTGCCCCCTCACCAGTAACTCTGAACCCTGTGTCCAATCAAATCTACAAGATAGGATATAATATGGCATCATTGCAATCAGTGTCTTCTTCTAAATCCATAGTTAAGTGACTCACAATTCTAGACTGTCCATTTATTTCGATTTCATTTAAAATGTAACTAATAAGGCAATCATGATGTTAGAGCTGAAACAGACCTTAGCAATCATCTCAGCCGGCTTTCTCCTGACAGATGAGAAGGTAGTGTCTATAGTGGTTGGCCCAGTCCACATAACTGTAGGGCCCAATCCGGAATCACTGCCTGGTGCACATTTTGGAAACAGGCTGCCTCTCTAAGTAGAAAGCTTCCTTTCCAAAAGCAGTTAGCCATCTCGTTCTCCTGTTCATTTGTCTCCAGCATTTACTGTGTAGGCGTGAAGGTGCAAAGCAATCACTTCACGATTTGAATCTTATTCCTAATCATGGGCAATATAGCCCTTAACTTTTTAAAGACTTACTCTAAATCACTCAGTGAAGAATTTTTGTTTTGTCACTCCTTAAAATCCAACCAAGGGTAGGCCCTGTAGCCTAGTGGCTAAGGGAGCTGGACCACACATGACCAACTTTAGTTTAAATCCTGGCCCCAGTGACTTGAAAACCACGCCAGGTGCATGTGTGTACGTGTCCCTGAATTCTAAAATCTCAACAGGATGGAGAAATGGAGGAGAAGGCATTGTGGTGTGACCACACCTCCTTGTGGGGATGTTCTTTCTCTCTCTCTCTCTGTCAGAGAGCACACACACCCTCTGGCAATGAAAAAAACAATTCAGCCAAAACTTCAACTCAATTTTAGGTAGCATTCTGAGAGCATATCCATATTAAGATAGTAAGTATGTGAAGTAACTTTTTTATGCATTGCCTTTCAGGAGTAGAAGGTTTACCAGTCTTAGGTGACTAAGCAGTTTCACAAATAAACCCACCCAGGAGCTTAAAATAAGTAGGTTCAACTGAAGCAGAGGAATTGGAATTTCTCCTGTTGCACAAAAACCATGTCCAGCATCTCCAGTGAAGCCGATGTGGTTTGTATTTTAAATTGAACAATCTGTCTGTGTTCTTTTCATTGTGCTCTATTTCTTTTCTATTGAGTTTAATTTCGTAACAGCAAAATGTATAGATCATAATTTTTTTTTTTGGCGAGTTTTGGCAGTGACATCTAGAGCTTCCATGAATATTTATTTACAAGTTTCTTTGTAAACACATATACTTATATTTCTTTTGGGTAAATACCCAAAGGTTAAGTTGCTAGGTCATGGGTCGATATAAATTAACTTTATGAGAATCTGCCAAACAGGTTGTGCCATTTTTACATTTTCGTTACATTATGCTGTTTCTTAATCCCTAAAATTGACCCAAAATACAGATTAGTAAACTATATAGAACATGGCTTAACAGAAAACACATGTAGGTAGTCATATACAGACATGGATATTAAGGCTACTTAAGTGGTCTTAACTTCTACCAGCCCTAATGGTTTTCATACTTGGAGTTAATGTTAACTGCCTACTGGCACTCATTTTTCTCTGATATAATTATGTGTAAACACTTTGAAAACCATAAGGCACTGTACAAGGGGAAGATGATATATTTTGATAAGTACTGATTTATATAGCCCAATGCCATGTATTTCACTATCTAATCAATGCAAGGCTAATTCAGGTACCATGGACTTTGAAACAAAGACATACAAAACTACCAAGTGTGTCCATTTGAAAATTATTCTTATACTCCATAATATATTCTTAGAGTAAAGAGTTATGCTGAAATGTAATGGCTATTTACTCTCTGTTTACTTACTGATACCTTGTCTTAGTCACAAAATATTCTAAGATGGTTTAGAGATGATCAGGAAAAACAGGTGCACAGATGTTCCTTATTTTGTCCACAGAGTGGCACTGTTGGATTATTTAAAAATTAAGAGCCATGTAACATTTAGTTCTTTGTTCATAAGTTAGAAAGATTTGCTTTTAAAGCAGTTCTGGTGCTAGAAGATTTGTCTTTCTAAAGTACATAAGGAATTAAGCTCAATGGAAAATGATGTCCTATATGTAGTTAAGTTTATGAGAACACAGTTTTAAAAATACCTCTGTCCATGTGGTCATAGTATTGACAATGGGTGGAGTTCCTTTGATGCCCCAAAGAGGCCTTGGAGCTTCTTGAAGGTGAAATTGAAGTCCTCATCTTTTCTCTTAGTTCTATCTTTCATCTTTCCTTTTAATTTGTTAATGAATCTTCCTCAGATAAAAACACGAATATCTACTTATGAGGAGGAGGAAGACGATAACACAGTTCTTTATGCATATGAACCAAACGCTAAATATATCAATAAAGTAAGTAATATTAATTGCTAGTTGACAAATATATTAATACTTACCATTTTATGCTTTCTTTCATTAGACAATCAGCACTTAACTATTGTACACCCCCTTTTTCTTACAGAGTAGTTTTATACTCATTTTCAGTGTAATACTCTAAACCTAGATTCTTCTGATTGAATAAGTTCTTGCTTAAGAACTATAAGAATAAATTCTTAATTGACAGTGATCATTTTCATTCTCACATTAGAGAAAATTTTTATTTTATCTCTGCCTTAGATAAAGACTTCTGAATCCCTTCAAAAAGTTCATAAAAAAATACAAACAATTTAAATATGTATATACAAAGTGGTTTGTTCCCCTAGTGTTCTTTGTGGTTCTTACGAAGGTAAAGTCCTAACTACTTACTTTTAAAATATTAGCAGGAGAGTGTTCTATCTGATGCATCGTACAATGACGAGCAACAAAGTACAATTATGGATGTCCTTAACTATTGCCAGGTACAAACTCTGTCTCTTCCGTGTAGATTTCTAAAGTGTTAAGTGAAAAGTCTTTTTTATCTCTTAGAAAGTATATAATTAATTGAAATTTTGTCATGTCAGATTATTTATGATTATCACCTCCTTAATAATTTTTTTTCACTATTTTAAGTTAGAACAGCATCTCCAGGTGAAAATTTTAAAATAGTAGAGTTCAGAGGTTTTTTTTTTTTTTTTTCTGGAGAGGTTTTCTCTATAGGCTGTGCGTGCTTACCAGAAAGATAGAGAGACAGAAAGCAAGAAATCACTCCCCCAGGGGGGACGGCCACGCCGCAATCCCTTCTCCTCCATTCTCCTCTCGGGATCTTGGACACACACGCACTAACGCCCAGCGTGAGTTTAAGCCACCGGGTCCAGGATATGAACTGCGGTCGACTACATGTGAGTTCAGCAACATAGCCATTACACCAACTGCTTGCCCCACAAAGCAAGCGTTTTTTTAACTTACAAAGTTTCTTGCGTAAAATGAGCTAAGGTGCTAGAAAAGTAGCAATGTCTGAGTCTTTATCTTGGGAAATGGCGTGCTCACCAGGAGGACACTTGGTCTGATGAGGACCAATGGCAGTGCTGAGTGGAGGAAGGGACAGGGATTCTGCCTTGGGGCTGCTGCCCCCAGCCTCACCCCTACCTAAGTGCCCTTGGAGTCTAGGTCTGCACTCAGGCCAGGGTCCCCCTAGGCTGTGGTGGGGTGGGCTGGGATGTGGCCCCTAACAGGATAAGTACCCAGGTTCCCAAGTCCCCTGAAAGGGGTCACAGGGGTGCCTTTC